GAAACAGTGAGCCTGATGCTGGCCCAGAGCCCATTGTCCAGGAAGTCACACCCAATGTATGAAGGTTGCCTCTTCCAGGAAGTCAGTGTTGAGCCACCGCCCAGCCCAAATCCCCTAGACTGTAACCTCCGTAGGAGGAGTAACGGTGCCTGGCGTGTCACAGGAGCGTAAGACACCATTTCTAAAATAGTAAATGTTTGCTAAATGAAATACTCACAGTGCTTCCATAAAGCTTAGGTAATTTCATTCCCCAAAATACTGGGTGCCTTTTCTGTGCTAGATAGTGGGGATAAAATGGTAAACAAAACAGATATTTGGCCAGGCATCATGGCTCACACCTGTAATCCCAGTGCTTCAGGAGGCTGAGGAAGGAGGATTACTCGATGCCAGGAGTTCAAGACCAGCCCGGGCAACACAGTGAGACCCCATCTCTACAAAAATACTTTAAAAATTAGCCGGATGTTGTGGTATGGACCTGAAGGTCTAATGACTTGGGAGGCTGAGGTGGAAGGATCACTTGAGCCCAGGAGGTCGAGGCTGTAGTGAGCTATGATCATGCCAATACACTCCAACCTGGGTGACAGAGGAAGATCCTTTCTCTAAAAACAAGCCACCACCACCACCACAACAAAAAAAGCAGATGTTTCTCCATCCAGGCTTCTTCTAAAGCAGTGACTAAAGGGTGCAGATGACCATCAGCTCTCAGCCCTCTCAGGGGACTTCCTTGGCAGTTCAAGATTAGGCATAACTTATGGGGGCACATAAAATGACTGATCAATCCTCACCTCCATTCAGGACAATTCTGAAGGATCAGACCAGCTCCCAGGCTCCCCTGGCATTGCAAATCTTCTAGAAGCTGTATATGTGACTTCCTTCCTCTACCAAATGTGTAAGTTCATCCATCTATTTGTCCATCTAGTCACCATCTAATCACTCAACAGAAGTTTTTATATTAGGTGCTGGGAGAACCAAGTTGAAGAAAATGGGTCACTAACTCAATGAGCTGGGACTCATCCACACATTTGCAACACACACAACTGTTGGGACATTGTTACAGCTCCATTTCTCTCTCTGTCCAACCATGGCTTCTTCCCCTTCAGTTTCACAGCTGTTGCTCCTAAAGGAATCCCATAACAAATATCCTACTCACTAATCTACATCTTAGCATCTGTTTCCTAGAGAGCCCAGCCTGCATCATCAAGAAGGTTCATATGACAGATGCTCAGGCCTTGTGCCACCAAGATGAAGGTTTAGGACCGGGGGGCACACGTGTCGTGGAAGATGGGAGCTAGTTTGTGGGAACGCCTTGCTGACAAGGATGCAAATGCTGGGCTTAAGGCTGTGATCAATGAGGAAGGGTAGTGAGCAGTGTGCAAACACCTGTGGTTGTTTTAATGTGTGGATGAGTCCCAGCTCACTGAGTTAGAGACCCGTTTCTTCAACTTGGTTCACCCACCACCTAATATAAAAACTTCTGTTGGGTAATTACATGATGACTAGATGGGCAAATAGATGGATGAACTTACACATTTGATTAAGCAAGGAAGTCACACATACAGCTGTCAGAGAGACCTGGGTTCCAAGCCAAGCTACCTCCAAAAGCTGCAGGTGTGAGCAGGCAGCCTTTAGTGGCACTACCTCTTGTGAGGACTGAAGGAGACAACAGGTGGGGAAATGCTTTGTAAACTGTAAAGTACTATGCCAATCTCACCGTCGAAACAGAGGATGCAGTGGAAGTGTGGGGAGGAAGGAGGCGTAGACAATAAATGAAAGATGATTATTTGGTACAGGTTAAATTGGTTAAATTGGCCGGGCGTGGTGGTTCACATCTGTAATAAAAGCACTTTGGAGGCCAAGGTGGGCAGATCACCTGAGGTCGGGAGTTCAAGACAAGCCTGACCAACATGGTGAAACCCCATCTTTAAAAAAAAAAAAAAAAAAAAATTGCTTAAATTGTGTCATTTATGTAAAGTATTAATCACAATGTTCAAATAACAATAATGATAAAAATGGCAATTGCCAAGGCAGGAGGATGACTTGAGGCCAAGAGTTTAAGATAAACCTAGGAAACAGTGAGAGCTACACATACAAACACAAATGTAAAAAAATCAGCAAGGCAGATTGAGTCTGGGAGTTCAAGAATACGCTGAGTTATGTTTGTGCCACTGTGCTCCAGCTGGGGCAACAGAGCAAAAACCTTGTTCCTGAAAAAAAAAATGATAATGGTTCTGGTGCAGTGGTCCAAACCTGTAAACCCAGCACTTTGGAAGCCATGGTGGGCAGATCACCTGTTTTCATGAGTTCGAGACCAGCCTGGCCAAAATGGTGAAAACCCATCTCTACTAAAAATACAAAAAATTAGTCAGGCATGGTGGTACATGCCTGTAATCCCAGCTACTCAAGAGGCTGAGGTAGGAGAATCACTAGAACTCAGGAGGCAGAGGTTGTAGTGAGCCGAAATTGTGCCACCTCTGCACTCCAGACTGGGTGACAGAGTGAGACTCCATCTGAAAATAATAATTA